GGATGTTAAGTCGTTTTCTTCTAACCCCCTGATACGACAATTTTGAGGCAATATAGACAACTGCATAACATGTTGTGTATGGATTTTATTTCTAGATTTCATTTAGCATCACATACTATTAATGAGTAGATTGCTTTGATTGAGCATTTATTTTATTTTATTTTTGCTTTATGTATCAACTTCGCCACCAAAGCCACTTAGGAAATGCTCCTACGTACATGTTAGTTTGAAATATGTGGTGGTCGGAACTCGCAACCTCTCCCTATTTTTGTCATTGGTCCATATCTATTACACTGTATATATACTAGAAGAATATTAAAAATATTAGTCGGTACATGGAACAAAGATTCGGCGAACAGAAAGAAATTATTAAGTAAAAAAAAAAAACTACGAAGGAAGCCATTTGCTAGACATCCTCGGTCTCAGAGAAAGAAATGTTATTTTTCCTCTAGCTGGTTGCAACTACAACCATCCTAGACTGTAGACTCGTCATCTTCACCAACGGCGACGCCCTCCGCGTCGCCGGCATCGACCACGGGGAGCTCCCGGAGCCTCCTCTGCAGCTCCGCCCGCTCGTCCCTCATCCGGGAGTTGTCGCGCACGACGCGGTCGTAGTCCACGATGGCGCGGTTGAGCTGGTCGAGCAGGTCGCGGTTGGCGTCCCGGAGGTGGACGACCTGCGCCCACAGCTGGCCCAGCTGCTTCTGCTTCCGCACGCGCGACCGCCGCGCCGACTCCCTGTTGGACACCATCCGCCTCCTCCTCCTCTCCTCCGCGCGCTGCCTGTCCACGGCGTGGGCCGCTGGCTCGTCGGAGCTCGACCCGTTGCGCAGCGGCACCGCCGGAGGGTGGTTGAGAAACAGCTCGTCGGCGTAGGGCAATTGCATTAGACTGCTACTGCTGCACTGGAACAGGAGATGATCGTCTTCCGCTATCTGGTAGGGATAATGGGGTCCCAAAGACGCTGCGTTTGCAGGTGGCGGCAAGTACGCCGCGGGGAGAAGAACACCGGCAACCTCGGCTGGGTACATGCTGCTTGCTTTGCTTTTCGTACGTAGCTGAGCCAGAGGACGGCGAGAACAGAGAAATAATGGAGTATAGTCGAAGTGGAGAGGAGAAAGAGAAGATAGGAAGGGGGAGTCTTCTGAACGGAAGAAAGAGAGAGGGGTGGTGGATTTATAGCCGGAAAAGGATCGTGGAGGTAATTGGCTCCATGATCCAGAGTCCAGACACACCTGAAGGCTGAAGATATATGGCACGTTGAGGCAGCACAGCGCACACGGCACGACACTCAATCACCTGATTTCCTGGATGCTTATCGTGATGTCATGGACAATGATTGTGCCTGCTTTTCGACAAATTCTACGTAGCGGCCCGGCGTGCCTCCGGAGTAGCCTGCATCTAGCCTGTCGATCCGCGACCGGGCAGACAGACAGCGGCCTCGCCGCACGGGGCGCGGCCGTTCTTGCGAGCCATCATGCAGCTGCAGGCTGCGGCAGAGGTGGGCGACTGCTCCGGCAGCTCTAGCTCGGAGGTTGGCAAACAGTGACGAACAATTTAACCCGCAAAAAAAAAAACAGTGAAGAACCATTTCCAGCCAGCGCTAGCTAGGATAGTACTAGTAGATCAACCGTGTGATCGTCGATCGACGCTGAAGCGATCCATCATCCATTTACATGTCCTTCATGTCTTTGCGTTTCATGATGGGGTGCTTCAGAACGATTGGCAACTTGGCATTGTGGGGAGGTGCTGATCGATGGGAGCACTACGGTCGGTCTCCATGGCGTTTTCTTCCGCGTAGTTCACGCGGTCGACGCTTTCACTTTCTCACCGGGCTAACGCAACGGGAGTGTTCTTTCTCAAAGGAGAAAAGGAGGCACTGTAGTTGGTGGTTCCTGGCCACTGATGTGTCACATGCATGGACTTAGATTCTAATAATTGTTTGCGTAAAGAGAATGTACATCCGTGCAAGCAGAGATGCTATCATTTATTTATTTACTTATTCCAAATAGCTGTGAGGAGATAAATGTTGCAAGTTTGCAACTAGACTGGTCATATGCTCCTTTCATATCTGTTACTACCTTTTTTCCTTTCGAGAAAGTAGTAGTATTTGTTAGTTGCGAGTTGCCACTAGGGTCACATAAACTAATATTTGGGCCTTAATGTGCCAATCTGCGTCTGCAAACTACCTTAATGGCATCAATTGTTGATGACTCTAACGATACCGTGAGGTATCTTAGGACCTTAAAAGTTTCAGCATTTTGATTTGTTTATACTCCGATAAACGTGTCAATAAGAAATGTATTTAGCCTTTATATCGAACCGATGGGAGCTGGAGTATCATTTTCGTAAAAGGAGGCCCTATTCATTAGCTGCTGCTACTTTCTTTCGACCGACTGATCTGTTTAAGATTTGTAGCAGCAAAGCTGAAGGGACGTCCCATATCCGAAACCATGAACCAAGGATCCTGGTGTAATCAGAGCCTACGGGTCGTCTTTATGCCTAGCTCATACTAGTGTCTTTGCTACTTCGAATTAACACCGCATTTTTCGTGCAATCTTTTACATGAATTTGTTGCTTTGGGTATTTCTTACAACAGTGGTGGTGCATGCTTATCGATCCGGGCATGGCAGAGCATATGACGATATCTCGTTGTCTTCAGAAACCGACAAACTGCTTGTCTCCTGTAGATTTGTGAAGTCTGACATAGATAATGAGGGAGCAACATTATAAGTTACAGACAGTGACATGAAGAGAAATGGGGGCAATAATGTACTCCTTTGATGTGCAAGCTACAGATTCAGCGTTTCTTTCTTCTATTTAGAACATCTACAGTTGGACTTGCCAAATCAACCCCTTAAACACCCGCGGATGCATTCGGACATGTCCGCAGACAGTGTCCGGTCACGCCTCAAATAATCCAGTCTACAACCTAATACCTTAAATTAGAAACCTCAAACACATACTATTACATGCAACGCAAACTAATCTTGAAGCGGAGCTCGTCCGGCTCTGCCGTGTCCATGTCCGCCGGCCCGCTACGTTTCGCAGAGTATTGGTCCGGTAGCCAGCGCGATATAGTAGGACATGGAACTGGCCGACTCATGGGACTCAAGGTGTTGTCGTCTCTCATGTCCTACTCTTCCTCATCGGAGCCCGGAACCCTGACAGTGCTGGTGGACGTCAGGTCGATGATGGATCCGTCCTGGGACGAGTCGGCGATATCCACCACGACGCGGTTGCGGCACCCGGACTGGTGCACCATACGGGGCGCCGGAGAATGCGACTCCCCTAGCCAACGTTCACCGCCTCGAGGGCAGCCGCCACCTCCCGCGCCCGCTTCCTCGCACGGCGGGCACGCCGCGCCATTTTTGCGTCGGACGACGCCCGCCTCGGCACGCCAACGGAGGGGTTGCGCATCCGCCACCGCATTCGGGCGTAAGGGGGGTTGCACCACTTCCAGTGAGGCAGCAATGCCACACTTCGTGGCGGATCCATGCGCCATTCGGGCAGACGCAATGGATTCCTGACGAAAGGAGTCCGAGCGCTGCCGTTGGGAGGCCTCCTCCCGGTAGCGGCGAAGCGCAAGCCGGACTATCATCTCCTCCTTAGGGCTGTGTGGGATGAGCTCGGGGTTGATGGATCTCGAGGTGTAGGATTCGGATTCACTGCCCGCCATGCTGGCGAAGGCCGAAGATCGCCGGAAAGGAGCTCCGGGGCGGAGTGGAGTGGCTAGGGTTTGGTCCGGGAAGCGGATGGGAATGATTATATGTGGGGTCGGGTGGGTCAGTATGAGCCGGGTCCAACGTGGCGGATGTGTCTCGGCCTCCCCATATCCGCCCCATGTTTGAGATGGATATGAGGGGTGCCGACCAGCCCGGGCGTTTGAGGCCGGTTTGAGGCACCCATCTGGTCTTTTTTTTTGACTGGTTACTAACTCGGGCCGTCCGCCTGGACGAGCGAGGGGGTTTGAGGTGCCTGACTATAGATGCTCTTACAGGTACCCTTGTTCAGCGCATAAGGCCCGCGCTGCATTCTAATATTTTAATTTTCGCCAACTATTAGTCCACTAATTCAGTGCATTATATGTATCAGTACTCTAGATGCGTCTGTTTAAGTGCCAACTAATTTCGGACGGAATGTACTGTGTATGTTATATATGAATTTATATACTTGAAAAGCCCTTTTGAGTGCAATGAACTATATTAATTTTGTAGAAAGGTGCACAAGAAGGTGTGAGTAAATATCAGAGTGGAACCCATGACGCCCACGTTACCTCACGCAGCCACCACCGCCTGTTCTCTCCCAAAAAGCTTAAGGTTCCTTTGCCTCCTGTCGGCGCTGCCGCCGGCCCACCTTTTCTCTAGTGGCCTTAAGGCCATGTGGTAGTGGTGGATCTCGGCCCTTGTCGATCGAAGGGCTCTGCTTTTAGATGTTTTTTTTTAGTTTTTTTAAGGTTTCGCGTCTTGCTTAGAAAGATGAGACATCGGTGGCTTCCTGAAGATGGAATATTATTCTCCCCGCCTAGCATGTGTTCCGGTGATGCGTTTGGCATCATCGATGGGCGTGTGAAGGTGTGTCTCCAGTGGATATATCTTTTCTGGATCTGCTTGGATTGGTCATCGTTTGTCTACATTCACGTGCCTTCAGGTTGGATCCTTTCGATCTACGCTACTTTTTATCAGCGGCGGTTGCTGTTCTGGTGCGCTGCTCCTATGAGGCTTAGCATGACGGCTTCCCAAATGTCTACTACAACAAGTTTTGCCTGGCTCCGACGAGGAAGGACCGATGTGGCATGCCTTTGGCTTGCTTCAATGCTTGTAGTCGACACTAGGTGGTCTTCGGATTTAGATGTAACTTCTATTATTTCTGGTGTTCATTGTATTTCCATGATTGAAGATGAACATATTGAAAGTTTTCCAACAAAAAATGAACATGTCAGTAAATACTTGAACTTTTAAAATCGGCATTGAACTGTTCGAAGTGCAATAAGTGCGGCGTCCAGGTCCAAAATAATTTCCAACCCATAGTTTAAAGTGTTGGGAAATGTTGCATGAAAAATAAAAAAAATTATACGCACATGCAAGATCTATTAAGGAGATGCATAGCAACGAGAGGGGAGATTGTGTCTACGTATCCTCGTAGACCGTAAACGAAAGCGTTTACTAGCGCGGATGATGTAGTCAAACTTCTTTGCGATCCAACCGATCGAGTACCGAACGTATGACACCTCCGCGTTCAACACACTTCAGCTCGGTGACATCCGCGCCTTCTTGATCCAGCAAGACGGCAGGGTACTGGATGAATTTCGGTAGCACGACGGAGTGGTGACGGTGATGGTGATGCTATCTTTGCAGGGCTTCGCCTAAGCACTACGAAAATATGATCGAGGGTATAAATGGTGGAGGGGGGCGCCGCACACGGCTAAGAAATTGTCGTGGCTATGTGTGGCGCCTCCCTCCCACATATATATAGGTGGGGAGAGGGGAGAGGCCGAGGGGCGCCCCAAGTAGGGCCGAATCCTACTTGGGGTCTTTCCCAAGTGGTGCCCCCCGCTTACCATATTTGCCGAAGGGGGGAAGGAAAGGGGGGAGAGGATAGGAAGGGGGAGGCCGACTCCCCCCTTTTCTTCTCTCCCCAAGGGCTACGGCCTAGGTGAGGCATGCCAGCCTCTTGATAACCCACAAGTATAGGGGATCGCAACGGTTTTCGAGGGTAGAGTATTCAATCCAAATTTATTGACTCAACACAAGGGGAGCCAAAGAATATTCTCAAGTATTAATAGTTGAGTCGTCAATTCAACCGCACCCGAAAGACTTAATATCTGCAGCAAAGTATTTAGTAGCAAAGTAATATGGAAGTAACGGTAACAGTGGCAAAAGTAACAGTAGCAGTTTTGTAGTGATTGTAACAATGGCAACGGAATAGTAACTAAGCAAAGATCAATATGTGAAAAGCTCGTAGGCAATGGATCAGTGATGGATAATTATGCCGGATGTGATTCCTCATGCAACAGTTATAACATAGGATG